TCGAGAACCTAAACGGTACACAGAACCCTAAGTTATCTAAAATTATTCTAATTGTTATTCTCAATTGATTAATACATTAACAATAAGTATATAACTTTTTTAGTCTTAAAACGGGGAAATTTCTAATATAAAAAAAAGAAATTTGGTAACGAGATTTCCATTTGCATAAATAAAGAAAACTCGCGAAAGCAGGGAAACATTTCTCTTGTGTACAGACTATAGCGATACAATAGTAATTAGTCTGTTCAATGATCATGCTCACGCCTGTCAAGATAAATCATGTTTGTGATGTCGTTTTGAATTTATTTCTATTTTTTAATATAATAGTAACGCACACACTCAACATAGCCCCGCACTAGGGACACAAATTACACCCAAACTCATGAGAGAAATAACTATAGGCCATACAAATATTTCTCCCGGCCCGGGAATCGAAACCGAAACCTCAGCGTGGCCAAAAGATTGCCAGACTGGCAACCTTTTGGCCACGTAGGCAATTATATTAGTGTTTTTGTTCTATTTTGGTGCTGAAGTTGGTTGTTTTTTGTTGTTTATAAAAACTAGAACTATGCTAGATTATGATTTATTAGAGCTGGATTATGTAAGAGATATAAGAATGTTTTTTTTTACAATATCTAGTGACAGGACGAACAAGTCTTGAGTCTGATGGTAAACGACACGCCTGTCTATAACAGTTCCAGTAACACTCAGAGCTTTAAATTGCAAAGATTTGAAGGGCACTGCCACTGCGTCCCTGAGACATAAGTTGACTAGTCCCATGTGCCTGTAATTTCACCAACACCCTTACCCTTCAAAACCGGAACACAGTAATGCTAACATACTGCTTGGCGGCAGAAATAGGTAACTTGGCAGTATTTCCCAGGAAGAACTCTTTCATAAATAAATAAATAAATCTTTATTCATAGCCATTAACATAGTAGGGAACAAACTTACATAATAGTGCTTTACATAACAGTGACTGATTGTTGACCTGTCGAACAACATCCAGACCCCACAAAAGGATAGTGCTGCTGTCGCCGCGACTGACCGGCATCAATCGTATTTGAGACAATATGGCTTACGGGTATACAGAAAGGTACTCGGACGTCCCAAAACAGTACAGTACAACTGTTCTTTTGGGACCAATGACTTACAATTATATGGACGTCGGGTCCGCGCTAAAAAGTGTCAGAACTTATAGGGCGTTAAAATCGTATACAGAGCGTCATTCACGCTTTAGTCTTCGTTTGTTCGACTGACAGCGAAGCAAGCAAAATTAGACAGTACTGCGATGACATTACAATTTAAATTCAACGTTTTAGCTTTTTCATATTCCTTTACATGTCACTACGTTTAAATAGGTTGACTTGGGACATTTTTTTCGTGGTTTTTGTATTAGACCCGTCGTTCATTTATTTGTAAGTCAATGTTTGGGACCCATAAAAAGAAAGGGTAGTGTTTGAAAAGCAATTAGTGCGTTTAAAAGATACTTAATACTATGTTAGTTTAGTAATGTAAATTTAGGAGTATAGTGTGATAATGAAATGGAGAGAAGAGGAGTGGTTAATGTGAATTTGGGACTGGTTCGAAAGTGCGTGTGTGTAAGTGAGATAAATGATGGTGTGTTATAGTGGTGATTTTCAATGCTGACAAGGACAATCGGAGGCATTTTAACAGTATAGGAAGAAGAGCTATACTGCTACAAAACAACTCAGTTATTTATTAGACAATAAGTTAAAATATACCGGTAGGGTACAATAAAAGCTTAAATACTGGAAACTAAAACTGGGATAAACTATATGAATAAAATTGAGTCCCCTGGAAATAGAGAGAGAGAGATTAAAAAATTATGATGACGCTTGTTAATCTGGGTCCAAATTCAAGCTAAATAATCTCTGTTGCGTGCTGACACAGTGCCAATTTCAGGATATTTCAGTAGCAACCAACCTTAGGTATGAAATACATATAGGATAAGGTTGCGTTAGTCGTACACCGTCTAAGTCGTACTCCAGCGATATCTGGTCTCACATGGGTGGGAAGTAATATCTAGTAATATAAATTTGAACTATTCAGTTAAGCGAGTAAACGAAAACAAACCGGCGGCCGGCTTATGTTCGTGTTGGGAAAAATATGAAAAAGTAAGTTTTTGCACTGTTTTCTTTAAAATTTCTCATTCATTAGGAAGCTATTCCAAGGAGCAATGTGGTGGTAAACTTATTTTTTTGGTATTTGTCTATTTTTGACGTATTTCAGCATTTATTTGAGCACAAGCAAACGGCAGATCTTTTCATGTTATGACAGTAATTTTGATTTGAAATTTTGAAAGTGTCGTTGCTTAAGTCGCGCCCGTGGAAAATTCCTTAACCGTACCGGTACGACTTAGGAATTTGTAAAAATTACTTCTTAGTTTTTTCAGCTAAATAATATATTTGTGATATTTGTGTTCAAGAAAACAAATTTTGTAGTGTCTTTATTATATAATATGCCTTTATTTCATTACCGAAGCATGTTAATATTATTTCATTAGAATTTGTAAATTCATTTCAGGAGAATTTTAATTTTGTTTATTTAAAATTTATAATTTTATTTTAGAACAAATTATAATTTTATTTCATTACAATTTATAATTCTATTTGTTAAGAGTTAAAAAATTTTGATTTCTGTTTTCCCTTATACATGAGATTGTGGGATTGTTCTCTCCCTTCGAAAATGTTAAAAATTATTTGATTATAACCACCTTAGACCTTAGTACCTGTTTCTAGATTTTAATTGTTATTGTGATATCTTTTTAGTAGTGTGCGTGTGTAGAAGTGTTAGTCTAAGTACGACTTTGGTTATAGGTAGTACGAATTAGGCGACCAGGTGCCTACATCGTACCAAAGGTGCTTTTTGAACATCTTGTCAATGCCTGACTCAATAAACGTTTTTGGTATTTTCATTAAAACACATTGTTAGTAAAGTAAATAAAGATCCCGTAGAAGCTAAAGGTTTTGTCTAATTTAAATAACCTTAAACATTACAGCGGTACCCTACTTGTCAACTTAGGTGACGGGGGCAGTGGCAGTGCCCCTAAGATCTTTACGATTTAAAGCTCTGAGTGGCACTGCAACTTATACCCGATTCGTTCGTCCCGTCACTTGATATTATAAAAAAAAATCACCAGCACCCTGACCCTTCAAAACTGAAACGTTGTAATACTTACATTTCTGGTTGGCGGCAGAAATAGGTAACGTGGCAGTACTTCCCTGGACGTACTCTTTCACAAGGACCTCTATTGCTACTGAAGAGAAGATTTTAGCAGAGTATTATCACAAATACTATCATAATCTGGGCATGATCTACCTTAGCAAATTTGGAAGTCCATAAATAGACAGCGGAACCAAGTCGGCCGAAGCAAGGAGTGCATGCACGAGTAGGGTTAAAGCTCGGAGCATGCCTGTGTGGTGTCTCTCCCCAGACAATGGCACGTCTTTTGTCTTGCCCTGCGTGACCCTGCACCTGCACACGCGTGAACCTGTACAACTCGAGGCAAGCGAACACGCATCACGAGCATAGCATCATATATACTTTTAATTAGTAGAATATTACTTATTAGACGGATGTTGTACGGATAATGAGAGCATACCATCCGGATAGAATCGCCAAAGTTATATTTGTTTATATAATTATAAGTTTATGAATTTTCTTAAAAATTTTGTAAGAAATTTACATTTAAAAAGGATCAATTCCATTGTATTTCTTTTTGTGTGTGTGTGTTACGCGATAATTTCGACAATGGTGAACCGATTTCGATGATTCGTTTTTTTTTATTGGAATGGGATACTTCAATATTGGAATCATCTAAAGAAGGATGGCGAAAACTGACCCAAAATAACGAAGTGCCGTTCATGGACTTTGCTAGTATAGTTACTAGTTTTATATTTTTGTATATTTTTAGACGTCGGGAATAAAGAAATCTGCAGTTTGGCAGATTTAGAAATATTCAGCAAGTTCTTTATTATTTTTAAGAACAAACTGAAAACTTGTTGTTATCTGCTACTATGAACAAACATCTGAAGCTAAATACAGGTCAATGTTATACCTATAACAAGTTCATAACCCCCAACATCTACAGGCTGTAATCAATTAGCTTTTTGATGCTTTGATAATGAATCACAAGTATTGATAGGTCTCTTTAACGCACGTCGTCAAAAACACTGGATCACAAAATACACGGGATGTCGCCATCCTTCTTTGAAGAAAATATTACCTCTAAAGTTGATAAATTAGGAGATGAATCTGGTTTATTAAATTTCACCCTTTTTCCGTTAAACGAATTCTACAAAACTTGGCACATAAATGTGATTCTAAAGATGATGGAAATGACGGACAGAGGGACTCCTTAATAGCGTACAATAGCTACTTTGTGTTTTGTCTTGACGAGGACTTCCAAGCGATTAGATTGTGCGGGTTATGCCGTCGTCAGTGTCACGGCAGTAAAATAGGTTACTACGATCCACATTAATTTATTATATAGGCAGAAGAATAGGTAAACAAGAGGAAATTAAATGTAACAAAAATAAACAATATAAAAACAGGTACAACCACGATACAACAGTACCTATAAAACACTCTCTTACTACGCATTAACGAACGGTCCACTTACCCCACAAGAGCCTGTATACATATATATATCCAATGTTTTAAAACAGTTACATTAAGTGACGTTGAGTTTACAAGATGGATACATACGCACGTCCTCACTCTTCGAGAATTTGGCGAGAGTGACGACGAAATGAAGTAAAGTGAAAATGACGAGGCAAAAGAATTAAAGAATAATTAAAAATTTTGAAAGTAAATGGCCAGAAACCAGAGAAAAGACGATGAATAAGATCTCATCGTCACAATATTATCCTTGAGGAGACCGCGGTAACAAACGCAGCAAAAACGGATAAAAAAGATTATCAGGTTGGTTTTTTCGTTAAAAATGTTATAATTGTATTTCTATTTGTTTTAGGTTCATGGCGTAATGGTGTCAGACGGTAGCGGAAACGGTTACGATGGCGTAATGGTGTCTGATGGCGGCGTAAATGGTTACGATGGCGTAAATGTGGCAGGCGGCGGCGCAAATGGTTACGATGGTTGGAATGGTGGTCAGGTACGAACTTAGAGCATACAACACGGAAGACGCCATTCACACGCACTCCAGTACAATAATAGCAACTCATAATATATTTTTTTCCATTTTCTCTATCGAATGCACGCTAAGTGCTCCACGAAGGAAGCCGTGCTGCGACGTATGTACATACTTATTAAAAAAAACTACTTTTTTATAATATTAAGTGACGGGACGAACAAGTCGTGTGCCTAATGGTAAGCTACACGCCTGTCCATAACAGTTACAGTGCCACTCAGAGCTTTAAATCGCAAAAATCTGAGGTGTACTGCCACTGCGCCCGTCACCCTGAGCCGTAAATTGAAAAGTCCCATGTGCCTGTAATTTCACCAGCACCCTTACCCTTCAAACCGGAAAGCAGTAATAGTCACTATACGGCTTGGCGGCAGAAAGAGGTAAGGTGGCAGTACATTCCCGGAAGAACTCTTTCGTAAAGATTTGAAGGCACTTTTTTTTATAAAAAACGTTCTAATTATATTTATATTTGTTCTTTTTTATAACATCATTTTTATAATTTTGTTTTAGGTTCATGGCGTAATGGTGTCAGACGGTAGCGGAAACGGTTACGATGGCGTAATGGTGTCAGATGGCGGGGTAAATGGTTACGATGGCGTAAATGTAGCAGGCGGCGGCGTAAATGGTTACGATGGTTGGGATGGTGGTCAGGTATGATCATAACTGTAATTTATGTTAAGAAGAATAGTAATTTATTTGTGAAAAATATTGACAGACATTAAAACGAGAAATAAAAATAAACTAGCAGTCGTCTTCACAAACTCTCAAATTCAAATAAGTGGTAATATATACGCTTCTACAAAAAGATTCCAGTTGATATTCAAAATTTGCCATTCACGAGGTTTATGACTATAGTGAAACAAAAATTTAATACTAAAGATTATTATACAGCTTCTGCGTACTTGCATGACAAAAATCTGCTAGTGAACCTTTTAGCTCTTGCAGGTAGCTTCCGGGATGAAAACTAAAAAGTATTTATATAAAAATTTTGGACTACGGGACATTTAGAACTACTTACTCTTAAAATAGAGTAAAGAGCCTTTGTTCCTCCGTGTCTTAATCAACCTCACACTAAGACAGGGTTCTAGTTTAACTAGAAAAAATTGATTAAAAAAGAAGAAAAAATGTAATAAGAAGATCGAACACTCAGAAAAAACAACGACTAAAAAGTCGTTGAAAGACCAAGTACAAAGACATGACTCAAGCACATAGAAGAATTCGTGAGGTCCGTTGGTTCGTTCCGTGGCTTAGTTGGTATAGCGTCTGGCACGGTATGCAAGAAGACGTCGGTTCGAATCCGACCGGATCGAAGGAATTTTTTCTGAGTGCTTTTTCTGAGTGTTCGATCTTTGTATTAATAATTATAACAAACTAGTGGAGTAATTTCACAAAAAATAATTGAATATCAATTCAATAAAAATTTAATTAATGTAATAAGAATTATACATACATTTAAAATAATGGATACCATTAACAAAAGAAAGTAACAATATAAAAAAATGAGCTTGTGTGTGTATAATGATATGCAATGCAGAAAGCTCTAGTAATATACTCATATTATTTCATTCTTTACTCATAATAGAAATTCCGCTGTAGAAGCGCCTCTCTCCTAGGCATGATCTACCTAGGCAAACTTGGAAGTCTCTGAATAGGTTACAGACCCAAGGCGGCCGAAGCAAGGAGAGCATGCACAGGTGGGATTGGGGCGCGTGTACACTTTAAGAAATTCGACGTGTGCTACAGAAAAGATGAGAATGGTCTTCACACACGACAAGAACTTTCTCGGATCTAGCCACGATAACATATCGTGTTTGTTGAAGACGAAAAGATGATGAATATGTACACGATACGAATGCTTTTGGACAGACGTGTGTAGGTCATGTGTCAGTGCATCACGAGTCTTCCAGGTAGCTGTCGTTTTACCACAGACTGTGGGAAGAAATATGTTGTTCTATATGTTGACTACTAAGCAACACCCGTCCACGCGCATTTACTGACAATGCACCTCACCCCGCCCCATACAGTAGCGGCAGAGCGCGTCGTATCGGGGGTAGACAAGATTTTTTCTTGTCCAGCACCGAGACAGTGTACACAGTTCGTATGTAGAAACGATACGAATTCTTGCATTCACTCGGCGACTTTTCTTGGCATGGACACGCGACCTTATGACTCGGAGAGCACATGTATGTGTACTGTTTCTCCTCAGACAATGGTTCATCTTTTGTCTTGCCTTGCGTGCCCTTACACCTACACACGCGAGGACCTGTACGCCACTGTTAATGCTGTTTCAGACTCTAAGGGTCGTATTCTAGAAATTTACTCAATGCTCAAGTCAGGATTTGAGTATGGTTTAAAGCACTCGAAATCATACTCAAGTCCCTGCCATTAGGGTCGTATAGGGTTTCCAGTGCAATCCTGACTTGTGCATTGAGTAGAGTTCTAGAATACGACCCTAAGTACTGAACCTCACAAAATGTAAACGTCACAATCGAGACGCTAAAAAGAAAGTTTATCTATTGTTGTATTACGATGTTGTAACATTTTATCTATCTTTTTAGGGGGCCCACGGCGTACACGTTGTAGATGACGGTGGCGCAAATGGCTATGACGTTGTTCGAGTGGACGACGGAGACGACGGTGGCGTACATGTTGTCGAATGAAATGTTATAAATAATTTTCCATTTACATATACATATATGTATATAATACTTATTCTTTATGACACCAATTCAATAAATAATACAATAAGATGAGCTAAGGTGATCTTTAAAAGCATTGTTTAAAAAAGACCTTTTGCACAGCGCCGATGTAATGCCCGAGTGCAAAATAATTCCTTGACACTCTAGTAGACACGCGATCAAAATTAAATACAGTTATATTTTCTATACATTTTTACATATTTTGTGATTTTTTGTAAATTAAATTTTTTTATCAAAACATGCTGTTTGTGTTTTTATTAATAAGCTCGCCCACGTATGCACCCAGAGAAATAAACATGTATTGTCACTCAGTGGGTGCCACAAGATGGCGTCGTGATGGAACCTGCACGTCGAAGAAAATACACAGGTCTTGAAAACGTATCAAGACCCGATTACGTACTGGGCCAATATGGGCCAAAAAACCTCCGCGTAGAAGATTTTTAGATATTTCATTTAATACCTAAAAATCCATTATGCCAGTGATATTTCAAATACGTTCGTGTACAGTTAATGGTTACGATTAAATTTGAAGTAATTGAAGTTAATATTTCGTATTTTAACCGACTTTAAAAAAAGGAGGAGGTTCTTAATTTAACTGTACGTTTTTTTATGTATGTTACGCGATAATTTGGGACAGAAAACGATATCCATGTACGTACTAACGGAAGTCTTCGGGGAAAACATTTAGTTTGTGACTTTTCTAGATTTGATACCTTTGGAGACGTCTCTGATACAAACATACGCCACGACTTTACCAGTGGTGGTGGCATTTTGATATCATAATTAATTTTATAAATGCTCCTGTGAAGAATATAAGAGCAAAACAAAACGTCGTCAAAATTTCTACTGCTAATTAAAAACCTAAGGCGCTTTATCTTGATAATACAAAGTAATATGTGTTGCTATTGTCTTATATCTATGCTAATTACAATATAATGTTACTTACCAATAACTAAAAAAATCCGAAAGATCCATGCAGTCAACTTTCGCCGACTCAGGAGTCGGCTCGTCCACAATACCGGAATCTACGTCCTCTTCAAAGTCCGAATCGGAAACTATATCCGGTATCACTTGCACATCACTCATGGCATGGAAGAACTTTGAAATTTTAATTCTTTATTGCTTGTTTCTACAGTAAATTTTTAATTTTTTTTCGGAACTGTTGTAATAATTACATATTAGCATATTACGGGAAATTTCGAGACGAGAAAAGTAATCTCCAGAAATAAAATTGCGTTTTTAAATTACTGAAAAATTGAGTTATAAATCTTTGCAATTATACAGGCTGGTTTTTAACAGTAGCCAATTTTTTTCTACGCATTAGGGATACCTAATGAATGATAATTGAATATAATTGTATAATTTGTTTTTAGATCGTTTTCACACAAATAACAACAAAAAACCTACTTGGCAATAACTGCCAAGCAATTGTAGATAATTAAATTACACAATTGGAATATAATTGTAGGCAGTAACGTGAACATTATTGCGTTTCGGTTTTAAGGGTAGTGGTGCTGCTGAGATGACGTCATGCGCTCTGTTCGGCGTTCCACGCATCGTGTGACGGTTAGTTGTATTTTCAACCGACTTCAAAAGAAGGAGGCGGTTCTCATTCGACAGTATGTTTTTGTGTCTTTTTTGTTGGAAAGAGAGTACATCTGGAGTGTCTTATTTGATTTTTAAGAAAATATTCCACCTGTAAGGGTAGCAAACTAGGGGAGGAATGACTTTGAGATCGGTTTTTGTAGTACTCTGAAGTACTGAGATTATGGATTTTTATATCAACAAAAATCATATTATTCTCGCGTTTGTTAGAAAAATAAATATTTTTTTAAATATCTTTGACCATTATTTTAGTAAATCTTTTTTGATCTACTATCTTTTACACAACCCGGAATCTATAAAGTCATGGTGGAAATACTCCACCGAGGGTTCGCCCGCTACAGAGCACAGGCCCCTGAATAGAGCTTCATAAACATGACGAGGTACCAGGCGACCAGGAACGAGAAGAAGATCGCGGTCGATATAAATAAAATGACATAATGGTGTCTAAATGTCAGACGGCATACATCGCGCGCCAGATGGTTGCAACAAGTGTTCAGTTATAGAACCTTGGTTTAAACTGATCCACATCTAACACACTGTTATGTCAAATCGCACACGTTCCTCTGCCGGGCACGGTCTATCGAAAACATTGTTTGGAAGTCTGCTATTTACAATTTTTTATAAGATGAACAAGTCGTTCGCCTGGTGGTAAGCAACATCAGGTATATAACCAGAAATAGAGACGAAATGTCATTTCATTTGTTTGAAAACTATTCTGCCACATCATTACAGTGACAATTGCGCTCCGATTGGCCAGCCCGAATTTGAAACAATTGACGGGTGTGGTCAATTGTTTCACTTCAAATCGACCAGTTTAACTTGAACTTTGAACGAAAATTGAAAAATTTAAAAACTATTTTTCCCTTAGGGTGGTTTGCATTAATATTAGAAGAAGAAGAAGAAGACTGTACCACCTCAGACAACCGTGACCATGGGACCTGTAAAGGGTCCGAAACGTCGGTTTGTTTAAAAAAACAAATATACGCGATTTAAATCCGGAAAAACAGTTTCATTTCCTATGTGTAACAATCGCGAAAACCTAAGACCACGATGTGATTTCGTTTGTTTTGTAATTAGATGTTTTCCTGTTTTTCCCACACCACCGAAAGGAACAGCCCCCATTCTTAGAGATATAATCTTTATTACAATAAATACAAAATATTTTTGGAATTTACGGAGACGAACACACAGGTCACTAGTAGTCAGCTTTCTAATTTGTGATTTCGGCGCAAACGAGAGTTGATATTTAAAAGTAATATAAGGCCTAAGCCTGATGAGTTGCCAGGGCTCTATTTCTGATTATATACTCGATGGCCTAGCCATAGCAATTCTAATACCACACAGAATTTTAAGTAACACAGATTTGATGGGCTATTACGCCCTCACTGTATTCAATGGGTGCTTTATTATACACCAATGATTTTTTTTATCATCTACTGATCTAAATAGAACACCTACAGTATACGATAATACATTTTTCAAATTGAAATTTTCCTTCAACATGAACAGTATAAGTTTTGTGAAGGTAAGGAAGGATTTTTTCTGTTGTATAATAATTGTTTGGTTTAGTTTGTAATATGTAACAAATGGGAATTGTATTTTTGAAAATAGTTGTTTTTGTTTTTATACTGAAGTGTACTGTTTTGCATAATCACGCAAGTTATTTTGTGTAGGTATTATACTTGCTGAACATTGACTTACAATTATATGGACGTCGGGTCCGCGCTAAAAAGTGTCCGAACTTATAGGGCGTTAAAATCGTATACAGAGCGTCATTCACGCTTTAGTCTTTGTTTGTTCGACTGACAGCGAAGCAAGCAAAATTAGACAGTACTGCGATGACATTACAATTTAAATTCAACGTTTTAGCTTTTCCATATTCCTTGACATGTCACTACGTTTAAATAGGTTGACTTGGGACATTTTTTTCGTG